ACTACCCGAGCTACAAAAAAACAATCAACACCGTTGTTTACAAAAAACTGTCATATATATATATATATAATGTCAATTCATGACACCTGGCATTATATATATAACGGGATAAGGTTACAATGTTGTTAGCTGTAAGTTCGCATCACAGAGTGGAAAGTAGTGGCAAGAAAAGAAAATGAGTAATAGGGAGACATACACTGTAGTAAGACCATCTGACAAAGAATGGAAATCAATATCACGATTGGCATTGAGACTATAATGAAACGTAAGGAATGGATGTGTATGGTTATTGCAATTTGGACAAAGGAACACCGATATTCGAAGAGGGCAATGTACGCCGTGACCTGGAAGGTCGAGATAATACCGGTCCATCTAGTGCTGCTTTCTTCCCATAGATCAACGATCGTAACATAGGGACAAATGAGAAAAATCCCATCTGATCTGAGCCGACACGAGGTCTTGGGCCGATGACACGACGTCGTTGGAGATACATGTGACGCATTAACTTATAGAACGCTGAAGGCACATAAATAACGGAACAAAAAGGAGTAAAAATGAGCACCGAGACTAACAAAACCGGCTTGGTAGCGAACATCACCTTTGAAGAAAATGAACTCAGAAACTGAAATAAACCAATTGAGTTGACTACAGAAATCCTACACTTTACCCTCATCATAATGTTTGAGTTCATCGATTTTTCATTTACCTCATCTACCCCACATTGATACCAACGTGGTTACTCGTGTGACGGTTTCGGTGCAAGTATAAAGTGCAGAGAAGTTCTGATAGACACTGTATCCGTGAGCGAAGTGAATTAAAGATGACCACATTTATCCCACCAACTGATTCTCTCGACGCGGCTAAAAATTTGAGTCCTTAGTGTCTTAACAAACGACGCGAATTTCCTCTGGTTCTCGTGGGATATGCATCACATTGTCGAGTGAAGCGTGCGTTCTCGCAGTATCATTATGCACTATTATACCCGTTAATGAACTGCTACGTTCGTTTTACTGGACTATGCGAACTTTCAATGGACATAGTAAGATTGAATTATCCAGCCCATAATCAATTAGTTTGATTAATAATCGATGCATAAATTGATTCTGTCTAGGGAAGTATTGATCGATTTGGACTGAATAAGCGAATTATTTGACTTCCCAGGCCATCATATTGTGAGAAAACTGGGATTTTATGCACAAGGTAGTTGAGGCACAAAATAATCTTGCAAGCTGCAATCCAAAAAATATCCGGGAGAGAATTAGTGGGCACGCTTTAGGACGAAAGTAACCCACAGAGCCTCCTAATTATTTATAAGAGATTTCTCCTCAATAGAAATTAGTACAAGTGGATGACACTGCAAAATGTTCCGCTTACGTATACACTAAATAATGGACATATGACGTAATGATACTTTAGATTTAAGTTGTGACCTTGACAAAAAATATACTGGCTCTTATATGAGGCGTATCTTACACCAAACTGAAAGCGAAACTTGTGTGGATTATGTGTGACGGAGAGTTATTGCCAAAAGAACGTCAATGGGTTTATGGTCATACTGCACCCCCACACGATTAAAGACAGCCTAACGCAATCGGTTATAAAGCATTCGGAAGGCTTTGTTCACAATGAAGTATAACTAATCGATCAAATGGTTTAAGTTTCAGCTGAACAGTGGTGATGATGTGTCAACACGTATCTATTTGTTTGTAGATAACACTAAAGGAAAAGTTATGCTGTATATTAGTTTTGTTACAAACGTTATTGAAAGATGGAGTCGCCTGATCTAACATATGGGGTATGTTTTGTGGTCGGTATATACGGTAAGGGCGATGAACAGACATAAACTTGTAAAAATTACACGAAAAATAAGTGAGGTTACTTGCCGACGGGCATGACTATAAGCCAGGCGTGTACTAGGATAGGGAAGTCCACACTCATGTTAAACGCGTTTGGCATGTCCACACAGAAACGTCGCGAATTAGATAGCAGTGGCAAAGCCTTGACATATAACGAACCTAAGACACAGTAGAGGAAAAATACAAGGAAAAACTCTATATGCGTTTCCAAAACGGATGCACAAAATTTCGTTGAGTGCAAATGATCGTACGATGTATTGGAAAAGCGCATTAAACGTGCATTTTTACATTGATGAACCAGTATTGTGGAGTATCCATTGTTGATATTTTGCAAAATAGCAGTTCCTGTTTAAACAGATGAAACAAATGAATACAGTATGTGATGATGTAGACTCAAATATGGTTGGACTGTGCAAAAAGCAAATGCGGATTTTTCCACCGAGATGAACTTATTCCCGGAAAACGAAGATGCCCAAAATTTTGAGTTGGTGATTTTGTATACGGTGCTATCCCACCGCGTAGAGAGAACATCATCAAAGATTAGACGAATTTGCGCGGCTTCGCGGTGGTATACAACCTTGGGGTGGATGTTAAGAAAATAACAGAGTCAGTACCCATTAACCTCCAAATCATTTGTGGAAGACCATTGGTGCTCATGGAGTTTGAAATAACACACGAAACTGACCTTTAGTTGCAATTTACTCTAAGGGAAAAGAAATACATGGTTAATAGTATTCCGCATCCAGCATAGGTCCACTACATGGTGTTAGAACGAACTTTTGCATCTTGAATTGTACTTATCACCACAATAGTTTTGTAGTGAGTCAATTTTCATTGTTCGCTTTCGAAGCTAGGGTAGATGCATCTTTGATAAACATAATTTTCGTTTTGTAGAGAAACCATGAGGGGCATATTAAAACCCAGACATGGTTGCGTAAGATACGTTTGTGTGGAAATCATTATCATCCACTTTACGAGCCACCTTGGTTGTTTTCTCTTCTGGTAACAGTCCTGTTACTGGTGGGCGGGTCAGATGAGCAGTGAACAACTGTCGCCACCATGGGAATCTCACAGAAAGGATTGAAAGTTGAACCGAATATTTTTTGCCAACTTGCACTTACCTGATTCTATCTAGTTTTGATAGCGGTCAGCTTCACATACGGATATGGGATAACATTTTCCCTAAATCGAACTTGGACGTGATCCTTTTCACGGAACCCCTATTTTTGGAATATTATAAATCTTCGGAAATCTCTCTTTCATTGAATTTCCCGGTGTGATTAATGAGCGAATACAGGCGAAGTGGCCGCGGCGTGCACGAATTGCGTTAAGTGGAGTTAGTCCGATCGGTCCCTATTAAATCAACCAGTGTTTGCCATGCCCATCACCACAGATGTCAATGTCTGTTGCAAACGACTGAGCGCGCACAAAAACTGAAAAATCTTTGATATCCACCTAGTATTTGACAAACAAGTTTAGTGACACAATTGGTTTGACCTACAATGTTCACACTTGCCTCTCCAAGTGCAAACTTTTATGGCGACGACAACAACAAGAGGGCGATTTTAGTACTAGGAAAAGGGTTGTGGAGGTTCGTGGATCTAATTTCACTATTAGTAGTGAAATTAGTCAGGAATTAGACAAGGCATTTGCACGGACTATATGACTATTCTTCAGGAGTGTACTATAGGAGGCGGGAGACACCGGATAAACAGTCAAACTATCTGAGAATTAGACAAAATAATGCCACGAAAGCATCGGAACAGCATGAAGTAGAAAAGAATATTGACCGGAGTAGATGGGTTGCAATAGTAAAGTCCAATGACGGAAATAAACTTGTATGCATTTTGTAAGTCATACCGCGAGTAGGAAAGATATAAGAGCGAATTTCAAGCTACATGTGTCCATTTCAGTACAGGAGAACGACATAATATGATAAGTGAACTGATATTTGGTACTCTCCCCGGTGGTCGAGAATGAAACCGGGTTATAAAATCGATTTCGGTGTTTCATCTTTTTGACGAAGTTATCCTGAATTAGTAAGCATAAAACATAATCATACCACCAGTACGCCTCATTCACATGGGACCATTAACTCCATCTGCAGAAAAGCGACCGGAAAATATACAATTGCGGTTGGCAGGTGTTTGTTTACATGACACAGGCGAGTACAAAAAGTTTGCGACTTTGAAAGACGATGGCAAAGCGTTTGTTTATCATAACTGCATGTATTTCCCCGAGGAGTAATGATGAAAATCAAAAAAACATACTGACAAACTGCAAATCAAGTGCGAATGGACAAATCAGGCCACGGAGCAGAAACAAAGGTAAAGCAGACGGTGTGAGGTCAACGGATGCGTTCAAGGTCAAAGTCACGATGGCAATCGAACCGGTGCTCATAGACCACTAGTACCGTGGCGACAGTCAAACAGATGAATTTGAAAATGGATGAGTCAGTCACGAAGTAGCTTGGTTAAACACGTCATCCGAACTGGATAATACACGTTTTTCACGAGCATACATTCAAACGTATGCACGTCTATTAGATATACAGAAGATGTTCACTAAAGCACCACATTAGTCACCACGCTGCTATGCGTAAATCTACTCTCACCCTGTCGACCTGCAAGCAAGAGTCGATCCGAAACAACCTGTGTGAGACGTGGAACTTGTGGACGCAGCGGGGTATGATAATAAAATGATGATAAATTAATTTAAACATTTTATGATAAACAATAATCATTTACGAGGTAATTGTTTTGTGGTTGCTCAATCACCTGTTTGATGACAATGTTTACTATGAATCAAAGTAATAAAATGGTACACATAGCCAATCCGCTCAATTCATTGCTCAATAGACGTATTTATGCAAAGAGAATGATGGAGGGTTGAAGTGATGTGTCTTATCCACATTTCGTAAAAAGAAGTTCACGAATTTCGCCTCACTAGACGAACATGTCTTTTTTTACCGGAGGCGCTTGGAACACATATTTCACCTCATGTGAACAAACAATTTATACGACAGCCACTAATTTGTGCACCGGCGTAAATGATCTACTTCAGACGTTATCGTCCTGCCTATTCCCTCACTTCGTCTACTCTTCATATTTCTGTCACAGCGGTTCGTAGACTTCTTAATTACAACAATGGCCTTTCTGCATTAGCAGACCACCCTGCACCACAAGCTGATGAACTACCTGTATAACTGTAGGCACGGGGCAAAGGCGATTTTCATGGAAGATCCCAATTCACCTCCTGCAATCGTGCCCGATCTGATCTTTTTCATGTACAATTTTTTGACCATGCATGGTAGCATTTTGTATCAATCTTCATTTTCTGTCCTATTTTTGAGACTTATCAATCAATACAAAGGACTGTGTGATACAATATGACGATTACGTCAGGATCGACTCTAATTCTGACAAAAACCTCTAATTATCGTGGAAGCAGGAAGAAGCGTAGTGATCACAGGATAGGTTGAACTCAACTACTTCTTGGTATGAATTCACAGCGGTGAACAAGCTAATCTGCGGTGATTCATCTACAGGTTAATACATCACAATTTGTCAAAACGTTTAGTAGGAGGGAGGATAAAACATGACAAAATGAGTAGAAAAATAATCCAAATTCCCGTTCCATGATTGAATGTTGCTCACACTTCGGTCACGGGGTTGGAATGTAGCTTATTTCTCTTCCCATTTGCCCACGTTTTCTAAATCATAATAAATCATATTGTGATGTATTAGCCTGTAAATGAATACTCGCAAACGAGCTTGTTTTTTCTTACAATGTGTACTGTAAGTTTATTTGGACAATATTTCTCGGTAATCTCATCACTCAGATCACGTGTGCTTGGAAGAGTGACAGGTTTCGGTACTAACGAATACACACGGGAAAGATAAGTTAATACGGAGGGCAAAGGTCACAAATCCGAACGGGGCGGTGATGGCCCGGTGATAATGTCACCAAATTATCACCCCGAAAGATGTGTTTAAATAGCACCACCACCATCACCATCTGACATTCCCCAGGTGTGTTGTATGGCAGCCTGAAAGTTGTATCAATGTGTATTCAATAAAAGGAAGTAAATATGAAAAAGGTTTGGGCATAGACACGAGGAGTGCAATCACTGCAAGAGTGAAAGTCAAACCTATCAGGGTAATGCGAGACTGGCTACGAATTCGATCTGTTTACACAGGTTGGGTTTTGTGACGTCTACTGCCTCAGCGAGCCGCAGTAGACAATTACACTTCTCAAAACAGAAAGAAGATAAATGTCGCGAAACGTTAACATTTCGTTTAATCTTCTCAGTCGCTGACTTAAAACATACAGGCACATATATAGCACATGGGATTAACCAATTGTGGTGAACGAACATGTATAAGCATAAAAAGATTACAAAATTTAGAAGTAAAAGGTCAACTCCACGGTAAGTGGATTGCTTGTATCAAAAACTTCTGTGCGCACGTTCGTTCACCATAATTAATTAATCCCATGTGCTATATATGTATCTGTTTGTTTTAAGTCAGCGACTGAGGAGATTAAACGAAATGTCAACATTTCGCGACATTCTGTTTTAATGAAATGGATAAAGGGAACTCAATGCTTCAAACTACACTTCTGGTGAATCCAGACATGAAAGGCTGTTCTGGGTCTGTATACGGCACGAACCCAAAATTCCCTCGCCTTTTCCCCGAAAATTACCACTGCTATGTAGTGAAGATGTAAAGTTCTCTTTCAACGGAGACTGCCATTGTCAAGTTGAAGGAGTTGCAATGCATTAGGCTTATTATTGATGGATATGTTCAAGGGACCACAGGAGAATACAGAACTACGATATGCTACTGAGGATAAAAACTCTTACGGCTGCTCTGTTGCTGACACATTTTTCGTACTGAATCAAAGTACACACGCAAAAACGATGCTTGAAAAATTCAGTCACATGAAAAAAGAATTACGGGTTGGGCACGAATGGCAAGCTTCGTTACGGGCCCTAGAAGAAAAGACAATGCATCCCGTGTTAGATGTCTGTCTCATAAACCGACTTGGAAGCGACAAAATCGTTGGTACACGACTTGCTCTCTGGCGCCAAGATACTCTGTTCCAGTGAAGAAATTGAGTTAGATCTTTACTACTTATCAACGAAAATGGATACTCAGGTAAGTTTATTGCGAAGGAGGGTGTTTGGTAAGAGAGAAGGGGGAGAGGCACCATATGGCCTATGGATGCCACACTTCTTGTATGGTGGCAGGGATATTTCTAGATTCTTATTCATTGCGAAGTTGAAAAAAGAGAACCTTATCGGACATCACTTTCCGGGGTGAACTGGTGCACCCGTTTGGACACTTCGGAAAGAAAGAAATTTCTTCGGCACACTTCAGAGAGGCACCATCGAATTACGGTGCGGTCGTCCGTTTTAGATCGCCAACCTAAAATACTACTTACTACCAAAAATAAGACTACTGGTTAGGAAAAAAATAGGCTTCGTGAACATGATGACATGCAAACCTGGATGGGGGGGGGGGGGGGAGCTGCGCGAAAATGTAAAATGAATGTGAAACTATAGCACATAATATATGAAGTTAAATTTCTGGACGGATTACCTTCACATATGAAACCGATCGGGTACAGTGGAATCCATAACGTGTAACGCAAGTATGTTAGCAATCCACTTTCAAATCCAAGCAGTGAGACCGTATAGTGTGGATAGCTAACAGATAAAGAGGAGGAGAACAGGAGAGAAGAAAATAACGTAATCATGCTCAACTAGAGTAATTCGCTATCGTCTGGTTTGTCAGGATTACTTATGATTATAATACAAACTGAAACATTATTCATTTCATTTTCATTAAAAAATCAGAAAAAGATTAGACTCAACGAAACCCTACATCGGTTCTAAAGGGAACGTTCTAAAAAATCGTTCCAATTTTACACGAAGTAAGAACAAGAAAGTGATGTATTGAAAACAAAAACAGCGTGGCAAACAAGCTCGCTTTTAGCCATTCATAATCATACCGTTATACAACACCAAATATGACTAACAACAAGAACAAAAAGGGAATGAGACATTTGACTCCCAATGGCTCATCTCTGACTCCAAACGCGTGTGTTACGTGAAATTGATCACAGTGTCAAAAGTGCAAGGGATTGCATATGTGCTGGGATGGATGAAGTTGGCCAGGGAAGATTAAGTGTTTGCACAAAGGGGGGATCAGTTCATTTCAGTCATGTTCTACCACTGAAACTGAATGGCATTTTGCATGTTCGGGTACAGCAAAAATACGTTTGAGAGTAGAACGCACTGGTTTCGGCGACTGCCTGATAGGGGGAAATTTAGAGCAACAGAGTGCCGTCACGTCACCTCAAAAACCAATAGTTCAACAGGTAACTTCTCAATCAGTTTGAACTGCAGGTACACTCTAATTTTACAATCAAGCTATGAAGTAGAAAGGAAAGCACCCGCCTGATCAGAAACAATGGGATAGAAGCCGAAAAAATTACAAAAGCCACTTACCGTACAATTTCGATGGAACTCCATGCGAAAAACAGCCAGAACACAGTTGTGCTTGACCGGAAATCCGGATGAGGCAGGACGATGAAGAACATTCCAAAGCAACGACCGAGAACCTTTGAATGTTTGTGTTCCGTGAACCATGGTTAGAGGTGATGTGATTGTCAACAAGAATAAACTTTATACGAAGCACTTCTGACGAAAAAATATCGAGCAGCGAATTCTTCTAACGGATTATTTTGCAGCCGATCAAACCAGACCAAGATTGAATACATTGAAAGATTCAAAAGTAAATATGGCTCAAGTGCTACTGTTACTATGATGATAAGAATAATTGCCCATATCTCTGAGACACATTTTCCATTCTCTTTCCTCGTCTCTCTTCATTTACCGTCTTTTTCTCACTTTCACACCTGTTTTATTCATTCTTGACTAATACCCTTCATATCGCATCCAGTTCACAAATTTTTACCCGGTTTTTCCCTATCCAATTATCGTGACTCTATAGCTTGTTGCCAATCGCACATTTTGCACACAGACATTCACTCAACATCAGCTTAGGCCGTGCATTATTCTACTGACTAATCTAACTTTATGCCTAAATGCCTGAAGCGGTATATCGCTTTTCTACTGTGTTCTTATGCATCAATGGAAATATTTTACGATCTGAAAATTAAATGCCTGAAGATAAACCTTGAACCGAAACCTAGGGCATTGCAAAGAATAATTACTACAGTTTGATCTATTCATTGGGTACACATAGTTAACTTGCTTTTGATAATGATCCCAGCTTTTAACTCTTTCATTTACTCCTTCCTGGGTGATTGTGAGGGCGGGTTCATTTGCAGTTGGGAAAACTGAAACTGACTNTTTGGCTGGGACCAACGGATAGTTTAACGTCCTCTCACTGATGACTTCAATTTGTCTGTAGCAACGCAATTCATAGCACGCCTCCAAGACAGTAAGCTTTATAAACAGGGTGAATAGTGTGAATCGGGCGAACAAGATGGCGGCTTTTCCTGAGATTACAGGTGTGGAGCCAGTGGCTGATGAGTCACAAGCGCTCAATCAAAAAAGTGCCCGTGAAAACCCAAGTACTGAAGCGAATAGGGAGGATAAGACTGATAGATGGATGAAAAAGGAGAGTGACACGGAAGAAGTGGAGACCGATTTTGAAGTGTGTAGAAAAAGGGAGAGAAACCGCAACTTCGACGACGACCTCTTGGGACACCGGAATTCGCAGTGCCGAGGTTATTCACAAGACTTAAAGACGGTGATAACGTTGACGTATACGTATGCAAAATTGTGGGGAATTTGAGTTCAACCACAAAACGCATTTGAATGCGTCATATGCATGTGCAATGCGTCGTTTTTGATGGGTTAGTGAAATATGTTTGTTGAATAAATCGGGCAACCAGATTGGAGCCGGTGGCTCTGCAATCGTCCCTGCTCGGTTTGTCTGCTGGGGTTTATGCGCTACTCACCTAAAAAATGTCCACTTAGTGAAAA